GGATCTAGATTGCTTCTCAGTCTTCCTTGGTTGCTATCTTTTCATTTTGGAAAATGAGGCAAAAGCTTCGCCTCATCATATTAATTAAGAAGAGTTTTACAACTATTTACACATAGGCCTACTCTCGCGGCATGATTAAACTCAATTGCCTCACTCCCGTCAGACTCCACATATTGGCTTCCTCTTTGATCTTCCGATGATGATACTCGGCATCGTAGAAGTGCTTTTAAAGACTCTCGCATTCCTCTCATACTAAATTTCTCAATATACAGGCATCACAAAGGATGCAATCCTTTTCCTAATGGAACTGATGACTTTGATCACAGAACTTCGCCACTCCATGATCAAATTGAAATGGCACCAAGCGTCGGTGTGAACATCGACGAGGACAAACCAAGCTTTAGTCTCATGCCAGATGCGTCAAAAAAATCCACCGTTGAAAAGAAGATGATGTGCAACGGACTTTTGCTCCCTTTTGCATAGCTGGCACATGCGCCACCAATGTCTCTCGAGCCAGCCAGCCGGTCCTCCATACGCAGTCCTAATGAATATGCTACGCAAAGAATCTATGCTTTGATGGCATTCAAATTTTCCAAACAATTGGCTTTAAAATTGAAATATTCATGGTGTCCAGCTGCCCCAAGTAAGCCGACTTCGTCGAGTAGTCACCCGAGTCAGTCTTGTTCCAAAGGATGGCATACAAAGTGTCGTCACTGAGATGAACATCCTGTAGACTCAGCGAAAGAGTGTATAAAATTAGCAATGTGGTGGACCAAGACCAATTGCCCGAATTTAAACTGATGTCCATTTTCCCGTAGAAAGAGCACTAGAGGTTCTTCTTGCCCTTGGAGATGGTGAAAATAAACAACATGATATTTTTCGGCTCTCAGGCTGCAGGTGAGACCATAGTTGAGAGTCCCACCACCAACCCACCAGATCCCAACACAGTTTGATAGAGAGAGTGGGCGTCCCACCAAAAACTAGTAATATGGATTAAGTGGGATAAGTGGGATTCCCACTTAACAAGCTCCCACGCACGCATGCACCAGCGTCAACGAGGCTGATGGTAACCAATTCGTGTGGACGCCCGAGCTCCATGTTAGCCACTCGTTGGGTTTTGAATTCTCACAGATTTGTTCTCGTTGTACTGATCCGTCTGTTGTGCATGATTTAGCAAGAAAGCTCAGACGCCGATGCGCTCGTCCATCTACGCTTTGCCGCCGTCGTCCTACTCCTCCTACATTGAGACCAGCCCGCGCCCCAAGCCGTACTTCACCGTTGCCACAAGGGCTGCAGGAAAGGAGAACCTCCACTTCCATGACGCCGACGACGCCGACGAGGCGCCTTTCGACCTCACCGACGCGAGCACGGACGACTGGGCAGCGACGGTGGCGCCGACCAGCCCGCTGTTCGAGATGGGCAGGCTCTACGACCTCTACTCCGCGGGGCGCAACGAGCGGCTCAAGCACAAGCACGGCTGGTACGCCGCTGGCGAGGAGGAGGCGGGGTCCATGGCCGAGGACCCTTGCATGGTCGTAGAGCCCCTGCTGAGGAGGTCGATGCCGGCAGCAGCAGCAGCCGAGTTCTCGCAGAGGCAGAGCTACAGGGCCAGCGGCGGCCTGAGCGCCATGAGGTCCTCGCTGAGGATTCAAATCCGTGAGAATTCAACGGACGGATGAGTACACCAACCCGACGACGCCCTTGGCGTGCACGACACAGCCACGACGAGCTTCAACGCCCCGACCTGCTCCGGCGCCCAGATACCCGGCATCCGTGAACGACGACGGCTGCTCGTCCTGCCGCGCCGGCGCGAGGTGAGTGGCTTTGGTGATGGGGAGGCCACCGGGGGTGGTGCGGTGTGAGGAGGAAGAAGCAGGAGCGCGATGGCGGACTGGCGGCGGCGGGAGTACGTTGCGGCACTGCCCTCGCTCTGCTTGTTCGGACACGCCGTTATCTAAGTGGGCTTCCAACGGGATCGCGATAAGTGGGCTAGCCCGATTATTATTATTATTATTTAATGAGAGCCCACTAAAGAAGATTAAGTGGAATGGGCTAAGAGCACCTCTAGCCGACCCCGCAAAACGCCCGGCCCGCAAAAATTCCGGCGAGTATGCGGGTTCGGCCTAATTTTCCAGCCAACATAGAGCCCGCATACTCGCCCCGCCCGCAAATTTTTTTGCCGCAGCCCGCAAACCGCACGCCCCGAGCACTATAACTGCGGTTCCGTGACCATTTTACGGGTCCAAACCCTATCACCCCGCCGCCGCGAGCCATCCGATTCCCCTTTCCCCTCTTCACATTTCTCGCAGCCGGCGACCACCCGCCCCGCCTCCAACCACCATGTGGGGCTGAATGTGGAGCTCCGGACACGGCTCCGACAGCAGACCCGGCCGTGAGAGGGACCCGGAGCGCGAGCGGCGCGTCCGGTCAGACGGCGCGAGGAAGCGCGGCGCGAGGAGGTGGACCAACCACGAGGTGTCGCCGCCGGCGAGCTTCAACTGCCGCGAGACGGAGGAGTACGCCAAGGAGCTCAAAGCTCTCGAGTGGCGGCAGGCAGGCGCCGCCAACGAGAAGGCTGAGGAGTGGCGCCGCATCCGCGCGGAGCAGGCGGTGAAGTACATCGACCAGTGCAGCTCCGGCGAGGAGGATTGAGCGTCGCTCGGCCTCCACGGTGTCGTCCATTTTGCCGCGACCTCGCCGTCGTCAGATCCGACCCCCTCTACTAGTAGTTAACATAGCATGTAGTGTGATCTATGCTTAATTTGTTGATCATGTAGTATGTATGAACTCTGTAGTATGGGATGTGATGAACTATGTGTGTGCGATTTCTCCCGCGAAAGTGTTTTTTCAAATTATGCAGGTTTAGATACGGTATCTGATCGGCCGCGCATGTTTTCACCCGCAAACGCGATCTTCGTGAAACAGCAAACGTGTTTTGCGGGTCGAATTTTTGCGGGGTCTGCTAGAGTTGCTATAAGAGGTCCCACTTAATCCCATCTCCACTTGCAGCCTGATTCGGCTCTGTTCCCCCAACCCAAGGCGAAAGCAAACTTTTACAGTTTCACCATTGTCCGGAGCTATGCTAGTCAACTCGTAGAAGAGGTCCATGTTAACATCATCACTTTGGTGGCTCAAAACCACCCATGCCGGCCCATAAGCAGACCCACTTGACATGGAAGTGAAGGGGCGAGGATGAACTGAAAAACTTTAGAAGAAGGAAGAATGTGCATATGAAATTGATGCATCTTGTACATTTGTACAATAGTATATATGCAGTATATATATACACTGATCTCCACCTCAGCTTGGGGGATCGAGCGCCGACTGAATCAAGTAACCAGGCTAACCACAGGTCCAAAAAATAATACTAATAACTAGGCTAACCCACGCACCAAACTTTGCTAATTAACCGTTTGCAAGAATCAGCTGGGAACTAGGATCAATCAGTCATCGGCCTCCAAAATGGAGCTTAACCTTTGCACGCCTGCCGGACGACTCGTGCGGCTTCCGTAAGAACCACCAGCTGGTCGCTTCCTCGTCTTCCCCACCGTCTCACCGCCGCCGTGCACCGTCTTGAGCGCATCGCTTTTTCCATACGCGTGGCGACTCCATCCACCGTCCTCTGTTCCGGTGCCCTCATCGTCAGCGAGGACTAACGGCGCCACCCGAGCCGCCTTCCGCCCCTTACCGCTGGCGACGGCGAGCGCGGAGCTGGCCTTGACGGCGAGGGCGGCCATCTCCTGCCCGGAGAGCGGCCGGCGGAGCATGGACATGGGCAGCGCGAAGTAGAGCCACCCGGGCTGCAGCGCCTCCTCGGCCGCCAGCGCACGGGCGGGCGCGTCGAAGCGGAGCTCGTCGGCGCTGCACAGGAAGCTCGACGCGCGGGCGGCGTCCCCCAGCGCCTCGCCCGCCATGACGGGCGCCGCGAACTGCGCCAAAGAGCCGTCCGGGCCGACCACCTTCGCCGTGGCCACCGCCCGCCCGGACCCCTCCACCGACGCCGTCGATCGCGAGACGCACGAGCCCATCTCTCTTCTCTTCCCCTGCGAGGCTGCGACGACGGCCGACGTCTACGTCTACGTTCACCTTGTCGACGTGTTAGCTAGTCTGTCTTTGTCTGAGAAAGTGGACTGGATTGATGATCTATCCGGTGGTCTGGACTCTGGATAGTGGATACGGGCAGAACGATGGAGCTGCTATATATACGCGGCCAAGAGTAGAGTGCACGTTGGTGCGGGTGACGCATGCCAATTCGTCATCGATCAATGCGCCCGTGCTGTCAGTGTCAACGGGGACAGGGAGAGCACTTGCTGTAGCGCTGCACTTTGTTCGCTTCAGACCGGTCAAAGCACGCAATCAGCTTTGGAGCTGGAGGGAACGCTATTTTGGGGCCATGGAGGTCGTTAATGTGTGGCGACAGCGACCTTTTTTTCTTTAGTTGGAAAGCGACTTGGAATGCATGCATACATCGTCATGGCTCGCGGCAGCTGATCGCGACGTTCGGGAGGCTAATTAACTTCGTCATGCACGTAGGTGCACGAGGGCCAGGTGGGATACTAGTTTAGTTGCCTCTCTTAACACATGCATTTATGCAAACTTTCTAGTTTAAGCAAACGAGCATCTTTTTTTTTGCGAATATAAGCCAACGAGCATCTTTCGCGAGAGTGAACAAAACAATATACTGTGATAAATAATTAATTAAGCTTGCGATGCTGCCCCTCTAGCTCCTCACAGGGACAAAGAGGTATATAATTAATCAAGCTTGAGATGCCTTGCCGCCAGATCGTGCGCATATTTTTGTAGGTGCCAATGTAACCATGCAAACTTAGCTTTGCTAATTGAGGTAATATCACGGTCAGTCATAGAACTTGCATCGGATGTGCAGTTTGGTGCTAAAATTTTAAAAATACGAATTTTTGTTGATCTAATTTGTGTTTAGGTGCAAATACGGTCAATCCGGCTGTTTGCGCGCGCATACACCGTTGGCGTGATATGCCGTCTAGGCACAGGGCAGCTATCGGTGACAGATATCGCTTTAGGGCGACGCGCGCGATTTTTTTTTTTTGCACAAAGGCCATTGAATTTATTTAATTATGAAAAATGGCCCTCAAATAAAATAAAAAATGCTGCGCGTGATGGGTTCGAACCCACGACCACCTAATAACACACCGACGCACATGAGCTACCCAGTACACCAAGTACCTTTTTGAGCTCAGAAAGAGGAATACGAGGTTAATGTTTTTGCAATGACGACTACCAATATCCAAATAATTTTTTGCTAACTAAATTTCCATTCAGAGAAAAAATTGAGCGCCGAAAATTTTGTATTTAAAGGAGAGAAACTAGTCTAACAATACATGAACGTAACTTAAATCCTCATATCGGCATACAGTATGAGACACACTTTTGGGAAATATATTTTTGTGTTACTCACACTCATTTGAAAAAAATATGTTATTTAAAATATTGTTCTTGTTGCCGCAACAATGAATTCGACTCGCGACTTTTCTGTAGTGTAGGAGTCGGGCTGACCACTGTACAGGAAGCACTTATAAAGTAATTAGTTAAACTAAATATATTTAGACATTAAAAAATTAAATAAAAAATTTATTTCAACATTTCAGGCAAAAAACCCATAATTGTCAAGATATTTCGAAAACAGGATTTTGCAGCTCCTTCTAAAGAAAACCGGAATAAAAAAACCTTGCTCGTGAACAAGTTTGTGTGTGTTTTGGGTTAAACATTATACATTTTGACACGTGTTTTAAAATCGAATTTCATTTAAAAATTCCTGACAAAAAAAGTTTTTTCGGAACCTATTTTTCTGGCCAAACCCGGGAAAATAGATACGAGCAGAATAGTGTATGTCCAGTGTAAAAGTAAATTTATCTCCAGGTATGCATGAAACTGTGTTAGGTGGAGTGGTTTGCTAGTGCGTTCAAGTAAATGAAATCGCGAGTTTGAACCTACCGACCCTTTTTATTTCTCATTTCTTGCACCAATTTGTTTCAGTCACCGACAGTGGGCAATAGCCGCACTGGCATGCCACGTAAGCATGGGATACAGACGAAATGACTGTATTTGCACGAGATGACAAGTTATGTGACCACAATTCTGTATTTTACAGGTTCCGTAATCAAACTGAACATCGAGCACAAGTCTTATGACTCCAGGTGATATTACCTCTCGCTAATTCGTAGTCGATTAGGGTTAGTTAACTCTTAGTCGACGCCAAGGCCGTTAATTTGGTGTTGAGATCCATGTCAAAAAATAATTATGAACTTTGATGGCAGACATTACATTTTTGTTTTTTCACTAGATGAACATGTTTTAATAACACGGTTACCATTTGTTTAGATGTGTATGAACATAATTGTGGAATCAACTGAGAAAGGTAGTTAATTCTCACTTGATTGAGAGCAAGCCACTCCATACAATGTATATACTACCTACATTCTTTTGAATAAGGCATGCAACGTAGTCAAAATTAAACATCTTGTAGTTTATGTGTGATCCTTTGGATTTGTATTCGAAAGAAGTTTTCAATGGTACAATTTTGAAGGCACGCGACTTATATTTTATTAATTAAATTAATGATTAAAGTTAAATCTTGAGATTCGAAATGGGCGCACGCCTTATTCTACGCCTGATTGCCACGTTCTTAAAAGGCTTTGCTAATTCTCAAGTGCCATGTATCAAAGCTCCCCTCTGCCTATGAAAGCTTTTTTTCAAAAAAAAAAAGATTGGAAGTATGAATCGACGTCTTAGGTGGGTTTGTTGGTCATGGAGCGCAGCATCACGTGCAGTATGTGAATGAAGACCGATCTGAGCATATACGGTGCGTACGTTGAAACCGGCCAGGTGCATGCAGCCGCGGACAACGACTGGTCGCTTTGTGCTTTCTAATGCAGGACCGACACGGATGCACTTGGTCGGGTTCCCGTGTAGCCTACCGCGTACGATGGTCGACCTAGCTACCAACTCGGCAACTCCCGTCCTGCCCCATGGGCGCGGTCGCCGTGCCGCTCGTGGTTTACTAGGCCAATTCCACCGCGCGACCCTATCCTGTCCGTCCCGGTCCGTTTGGGGTAAAAGCGACAAAGGAGGCAGCCCAGCGCGCGACGGTCCGGACGGACACCCATCCTGTCCGTTTTGTGTCCGGGCCGATCCATTTCGAGCGCAAACTTGCGCCGGATTTGGGTCGCGGTGGACACCAAACGGACGCGCCCTCATCCGCGTCGGGGCCGCGTGGCAGGCGGCCACCTACCTTCCTCCCGCCCACATCAATGCGCACGGGCGGGCGGCCCCACCTGTCATCCACACATGAAAGGGTTGCCGTCCTTCTTTAAGTGGGAAGCGTGGACCGATCGTCGTCCACACTGCCCCACGCCACCCCGCGGCCTCCTCGAAACCCGACAGCCCCAGGCCCCAAACCCTAGCCAAGAACTCGCCGGCCGGCCGCCCCGCAGCCATGGGGCTCTGGAACTACGGCCGCAAAGGCAAGCACGACCGCGAGGCTGGCTTCCCGCCGCCGCCTCCTCCCGGACGACCTCTACTACGACCCAGGTACGCCCCCGACTCGCGATGAGCACGACGCGCGGCGGGCGTCCTATTTTGTCGGCACGTCGACGGGGCCACGGCGGCCACGCCCAGAGGGCCGAGTGGCCGCTCCCCAGGAGCGCGGGCGTAGGGTGGTGCGCGGCCTCACGCCCACGCCGTCGCCGTCTCCATCGCCACCACCACCTCCTCGCATGACGCGCGGAGGAGGAAGCCCGTCTCGTGCAGCGTGTCATGGAGGACTCCATGCGCACGCACGACGAGCGGCAACGGGATGGCTTGGAGGAGGCCATGGCACTGTCTGCCGCCGGCGACGTGGCCTTCCCGGAGCTGCAGATGGCGGCCTTGACGGAGGAGAGGAGGGAGGACGCCATGGAGGAGGAGCCGGCGGCCGCCTTCCAGCAGCTGGTGGGCGCGGGGTGGGCCTGGTCCTGCACTGCTCCGGAGATGGCCGCCAGCCTGGGCGTGGACTGGCGTGCCACTCCGCCGCAGTCACCGGAGCGGGAGGGGTCGCCACGGGAGGAGGTGTTGCAGGCACCTCCCGCCGTCCATCCCGCCCCGTCTACCAGGCACCGCACGCACCGCCGGCCCACCTGTGGACGCCGCCGGCCTACGTCGACCTCGTCAGCGACGACGACGACACCGGCGGCCAGTGAAGAGCGCCACGGCGACGGCAACGACAGGCACGGGCAGGAGCGCGCCGGCGGCGACCGTTTTTTTTTCTTTTTTATGTTTAATTATTAATGTGACAAAACTGGGTCGTTTTATGGCCATGGACCCCCTAACTAAGTTTTATCTTTTATTAAACTGCGTTTATTTACTTTTTTAGTCATTTTTTTATGTTATCTTTTTTTTATTGTTTTTCTAAACACGGACGTGATTTGGGGTGCGGCCGCGCGGTGGGCGCACGCACGATCCAATGAACACAACCGGACACGGGCGTATCCATCGACGCCCCAAAGGAACAAAATCCGGCCAATCCGAACGTCCGTTTGAGATCGTGCGGTGAAGTTGGCCTTACTCACTGCTCCTTCAGCTCGGGACCAGGCCGGGGAGAGGACGGACGTACGCGTCCCACGCCGGCGCAAGGCGTACGTCCTCACTCGAACTAACAACCCTCACCAGTCCACAGACGGTCAGCGTACTCGTATCTCCGTTGGACTTGGTATGCACCAATGATAGCGTGGCTGGTTGGGCATTAGGGCATCTACAAAGCCGATCCTTCAACCATATGTAACAGTCCGGACCATAAGGTCCGGACGTGTTTTGCCATATAGCACGGTTCTATACCAGTTCGCTCCGCAGGTTGGATATCACTTTTTTTGTAAACCTGAAGCAAATTCAGGGATGGGCTTTGCGGGCGTCCGGACCGCTGTCACAGAAAGCGTCGGATAGCCCTGGCCCACAAAAACCCTCTTCCTCGTCCGCGTCCTTTCCTGCCCGATGCAGTCAACGCGGCTCTAGAGCGCCA